CTGGAATGCCTAAAGAAAAAACTAAAAATATTTCGCTCATAGATTCAAATAATAAAACAACATGAATAACAAAAAAAATAGTATGTTGATATGTTGGACCATAACTTTCCTCTTTTTTCTTATCAATAAAAAGCACTGAGAAAGAGCACACAATCGACATCTCCAAATCAATTCACTTAAGCGTCACACTTTTGAAAAGTAAGATTTTCAATTAAATTATCCTCAATACTTTACAATACTGTACAGTCTTAGTATCAATGCATTATTAATATGATACATATGTATCTATTTTTTTTTTGCATTTTGTCCCTTATAAGTACAGTAGAAGAGTAATCTTAGCATCATGTGTATTCATGACATTCATTCACCTAGAGTTATCTGAATGCTTTTTACAGCATACCAGTACTGTATCTGGAAGCACATATTGCAAACAATCATATTCTGAAAAAATCAACTCTGAAGGAGGTAAGTCGCAAATTCAGGGAAAACATTAAAATAATGTTCATATTAATTTTGAAACACACAGCAAGGAGCCACCCTCATGATGGTGTTGGGCAGAGTTCTTCACATTAACTGTAGAGGGCAAGAAACATTTAAGAACATTGGGTAGTATGATAATGGATTAATTGCAGGCTATCAAACCTTTCAAACTTAAGAAAGAAAAATACATGCAACAAATTCAGCATAGCTAAGTGATTTTCTGTACAGGTACAGTACTGCATGTGGCAGTGAACCACAAGTCTCATTTTTTTTTTTACGGGAATTAGCCCACCCGGGCATAGGTCATCGACCTAGAAAGATTTGATTAATCAACACCACGAAGATGCCAGAAAACCATCTTTTTAAAGTGAGACATTGTATGAGTGTGGAAACACAGAAGGAGGCAGAGCATTCCACAGTTTGGCTGTGTGAGGAAAGAAGGATGTACTTTAACTGGTTATTCTAGCGTGACCGACGTTCAGAGAGAAAATGTGGGCACCGCAGACAAGACGAGTGTTACGAGCCCACTGCCTTGCCAGCGGTACACAGGATGCCAAATCCACCAAACATTGCCCATTAAAGTACCTGTAAAAGAGAGAGAGTGAAGCAACATTGCGGCGAAGAGAAAGGGAAGAAAGATTATCAACTGAAGGAGGAGAGTTAATAAGACGAAATGCTTTTGATTCCACCCTATCTAACAGTTGGACAGAAGAGGAGCCACCCCAGATATGAGAGCAGTACTCCAAGTAAGGACGAATGAATCCCTTATATACCTGAAGCAACTGCTCAGGAGTGAAGTAGCTACAGCACAGCATTCCCAGCTTTTGGAAGGTAACTTTTGCAATGTTGAGGATGTGTGGCTTCCATGACGTATATGGTGAGGCCAAGCATATCTATTTTAGAATTTGGCAGAAAGATTGCGTCCAAAAATGTGATTGGTGGGAGATCATCTAATTTGGAAAGTGTAATTGGTAAATACTAAGTTTTATTACTATTGAATTTAACCAAGTTTCTACTTCCCCATTCGGAGATGCTGCACAGATCCGCATTGATAAATGTAATGATATCAGCTCCAGAAACAGAGCTAGTTTCAGAGTTAGGGGGAAGAGGAAAATGTGATGAAGAGTGAAGAGTAGAATCGTCAGCATAAGAATGGATAGAATTAGTCGTAGTGTGAAGTAAATCATTGATAAAAAGAAGAAAGTAGGAGAAAGAACAGAACCCTGTAGGACACCAGTATTGGTAGAGAAAGAGCGAGAGATCAATACCTCGACAACAACTGCCATGGATCGGTTCTCAAGGAAGGTAGAAATTAGAGAAGAAAGTGGGGGAGAAAAACCATAAGAGGGAAGTTTAGAAAGCAAAGACTTGTGCCATACCCTGTCAAATGCTTTGGAGATGGCGACGGCCACAACAAAAGTTTCCCCATAATCCCTAAGAGAGGATGACCAAAGACGGGTGCAGTAGGAGAGCAGATCACCAGTAGATCTCACCTGGTGAAAGCCATACTGGTTATCCGACAAAAGAGAATGGCGTTCAAGGTGACGGAGAAAATGAAAGTTCAAGATAGTTTAGAAAATCTGAGAGAGGGAGGAAGTTAGGGCAATGGGGCAAAAGTTAGAGGGATTGGAATGGGCACCCTTCTTAAGGATGGGCTGAGCCAAGGCATGCTTCCAAGAAGAAGGAAAAGCTTGGGTTTTGACGCAAAGGCAAAAGAGGCAAGCAAGCACTGGGGCCAGAACCTCAGCACACACCGGCAACCCTACGAGTGGAGATTATAGGAAAGTGCATGGCTTCAGTAGGAGGAGCAGGAGTAGGTGGGATAGAATTGGAATCGTCTCAGGGCAATGTAGTGCTTATTACAGTTACTTAGTATGTGTTTATATTTGTACTGTATCTATTTTTTATCATTGATTATACTACCAACTTAACAAGACCCCAATGGAAATAAGCTTATAATGGCTTTCTTGACTATCCTAGGTTGAATCAACTTAATGTTTACTATTGTTTGCATATAATGGACTGTACCTGCATTTTTTTTTTACCATTTTCAGCACTTACCAGCTTACAAACCATTCAGACGGTTGGTCTATCCAGTGTTAGTACAGGAGGAAACCGGAATCAGGGAAACCTGGGATGCTTGGTAAGGCCACACTGGATAACACCTTTCTCATGTGTGTCTGGGCCAAGCAGGACTTGAACCTTTGACATGCTGTATCGATGAGAGATACACGCATTACTGCTGTACCACCATCACCATGTCTATTTACATTGTATACCTGCTTTCTCAATATACAGTACATGTTGAATCAATGTGAAATTTTATGATAATTTTACCAAATAAATATCATGTCCTATTGACCATGAACAGACCCCCCCTTTTCACCAGAAAATTCCAATACTTTTTCTTTAATGCAGTATTGTACTCAGGCATTTTTGTGCAGTAAAAAGTAATTACTACTAACTTCAGAATACCCCCTAATATCAAGTGCACATGGACTCAAAATGCCCATGTATATTGGTAAGATTAAAAAAATAAATAAAATAAATAAATCTGATTGGGGCTCGCTTTGCTCGCCAAGTTTTCCCAGCTGATAAATTCTTGGACCATGGTCATGTTGACAAAGAACTGAAGGTGAATCAAGGCTTATAACAAGGGCAGACGACGCAGGAATGGCGACGCGAGTCAATTTAGAAGTAATGACATTTTCTGGACTTGGGGGCCGGTGGTAGAAGCGGTATCGCTCTTGCCTCGCAAGCAAGATGTCACGGGTTCGATTCCCGGGCCGGTCAAAGTTGTTTGGACATACTTCCTAGCCCCCATTAGTCCCTGTTCACCTAGCAGTAAAGTAGGTACCTGTTGTAAGTCGAAAGTTGCGAATTCGTATTCAGGGACAAGTTGTTGGAGCTTCCAATAACTTGATGATATAAACCATTGATTCTTCAGGCTTCTACGCCCTTTACTCTTCAGGCTTCTACGCCCTTTACTCTTCAGGCTTCTACGCCCTTTACTCTTCAGGCTTCTACGCCCTTTACTCTTCAGGCTTCTACGCCCTTTACTCTTCAGGCTTCTACGCCCTTTACTCTTCAGGCTTCTACGCCCTTTACTCTTCAGGCTTCTACGCCCTTTACTCTTCAGGCTTCTACGCCCTTAAACTCATGAGACATAGGCAAGCATGAACTCAAGCAAGCATCCCTGTTGGGCGCTGTAAACGCTTCTGCGCTCCACCTTCCACAAGGATGTAGGAGGGCGCCCAATAAAAAAAAAATGTCTGGACTTTGTACGTGACGGCACCGAGAGTGAGTGAACTCATTCAAAACCAAACTTAACCAGTATATACTAAATACAGGGTACGCATTAATTTACCACAGTGCGTACCAGAGACGACTGTTCTTTTTTTTTTATCCTTTTCACCACTTATCACGCACTGTCCTGGTAACTGGGCATGCACTGAACCTGCTCCGGTGCTGGTCAAGTCTGGTCTTGAAAGAGCTCGCACTCAACGCTCTCTCGGCTAACAAGCCGATCAGCAGCGAAATTAGAGGATAAAGTAAATTGGATGAATAATACCATCGATAGTAGTGTTCCAGAATATCTAAAATGTCATGATAAAATGTTTAGTAACCAGAGTTATAGCACAAAGGGAAGTTGGGATTTATCACATGTGTTTTGTAACATTAACGCTCGTAACTCTCAATATGTCTTTACCAAACATCCAGTTTCCTCTTGTACTAAAACAAAACTCATCATGCTGACCCACTTCTTTTAATATACTCCCGGCCGAGTCAGATAATCTAATAAGTGGTGAAATTTACTTACTTTTTACTTTTGTAAAAAGTAAAATAATAATATTATTATTATTATTTACCACTTTTGGTCAGACAATGTCAAACTAGAGATATTTATAAGGATTAGGTAAAATAATTTATATGGAATAAGCTAGGTTCCCGAAATATAACCGTATTGTAAGTAACTATTAAGTTTTAACATAGTTGTGTGTACAGTACAGTATTTTATTTCTTTCACACTGTGGCACCAGCCATGTAACGAAGAGCTCCTTGGAAATAAGTATTATTAATATTTTGTGTTACACTCAAGAAATATTTATATATGTATTATTATACTGCATAAATATTTACCCCCCCCCAAAAAAAAAAATAAAAACTAAACCATCATAGACAGTACTGGACTCGTTGGTGTGGATCTCGTGCTGTTTGTAGTAGAGCCATAAGATGATCCTCGGAATGGTCAACAACAATACCAGTGATTAATGTAACTTTGGTGAGTTCCCAAGTCTTTTTCTCGCTGATTAAGGCAACAAAGCCATTATTGAACATTTGTTTTTGTTTATAAGTTGTAGATAATTATAATTGTGAGGAGAAGAAGGTGTTTTATAATAAAGTAAGTTTGAATTGGCGCGCTGATCTGGGCCTTGTTGGTTTGTTTACATGGTTGAATATGTAAGAAAAACCTTATATATATGTTATTAGGACGTGGTTGATGGTCCTGTGTGACATACCTGGGTGATGGTTCATGTTGGGGGAGTCCAGGATGGCCAAGTGTTGTGCGTGTGTCAGCTAGTTGTAACTGGCTTCATCTGGATAAATTTTGTTGCACCACGTTGGTTAAAGGCTCGTTAATAAACCTTCCTCCCCCCCCCTTGGCCAGCATTATGACATTAACTCCTGCACATGATGGTTGTTTGTCGTCTGATATAAAAATCATATCAAGTGAATTTCAGTGTTGACTTTGAAGCCTGGTTTAAACTAATAGTTTCCTTAACCAGTATATATCAGGTGTGTAGATGTCACTAGTATCTTTTTTGTCACTGTTCTTATTTTCTGTTTTTAAGCATATCTGGCCAAGCAAATATTGATGTTAAGTAAGGTGTGTTGGTTTTATGTTCAATATATAAATCATATTATGTAGCAGTAGTTCAGAATAGCTGACAAGTCATTCCTCTACATAAGTATTCCTGTGGATGAGAGGAAACATCCTGGGTTTAAACAGTGAGGGCGGAGCTCCCCTGGATAGGAGATGGGGATCCATCTGGTTTCTCTGGATATGTTCTGATAGAAATGTACAGTATATTGATAATATTTATATCATAGTGGATATTTTGCCTTGACTAGCTAAGTTTTTACTATTGCTATTTTACCGTGAGTGCACTCTGATTGGCTAATTACCTTCTGTTTAATATGAGGGGGGTCTGACCCCTGGCTATGTTAGGTTAGGTAGATTTCTTTGGTTGGTTAGATCAGGTTCTATTAGATGTCGCCTCTTTTATAATATGGGATTTTTTTGTAGTAATTCACACAACATTCCTCCCCCAAATCTTTTATTACATTAAAAAAGAAGTCTAATTTTAAGATAATTTTCTTCAATTACACAACCATCGAAAATGTATAATAATGGAGATAGCGCATGCCAAATCTCTCTCTATTTAATTCCGTTAACCTTCAGCCATTATCGCCTTCCCGACCTCCAACTCAGTATGTTCCCTTCATAAATCATCATGCGTTCCCGTACACGTCACGCGGCCAGTCAAAAGTGTTCTTTTTGCTACCAATTAAAATTAATTGTGGTGTTTGCTTTTAGAATTTACGGTATTTTTTGGCCAATCAGATTCGATTGTGATTTTGGGTCTCTCATGCTTCGAAATTCAAGTTCATTTCAGACCGTGGAAGTCTGTGATGGGTGTCACTTCAATTATGTGGAGTTAATTGTGCATTTTTTGGAAAAATGAACAAGCAATAGCATTTTTTAGATCTCATGGAGTTCTCCCGACCTCAGTAAAGATTTTAATTCAGAATAAGGTAAGAAATAATAGTGATTCCCTCATATGGTGAGAGTCTGATTACGTAAAAACATTGTGAGAGTTAAGTCAGGTTAGGATAGGTTAGGTTAGGTCATCCGAAAAAAAGGTTAGGTTTATATGTTTTTCTAGTATTTTTTTGGTGTATTTTGTATTCACTTGGCCATGATTTTTGTTGGAAAATGCCCCACCCAAAACCCCAGTTCCCAGCAGGATCCCCTATCATGTCGGGAGTAGAAGAAGGCGATAACTAAAAAACAGGCAATTTCCGACAAATCAAAGTCAGAACCAATTAAAAAAAAAAGAAAAGCATTAGAAAAACATAGTTTTGAATTTCTAACAGAGTTGTGTGAATTACTATAAATTTACTATGTTAAGTTTCCATTCACAACAGAAATATGGTTTGGTATGCTTACTGCTACACAAAGATTGACTCAGGCGAAATAAATGCCAAATGCTGTACAGTATAGTCTGCATTTACGCGGTCAATTGAACCCGTGGAGGTCCGCGTAAAACGAGAAACGCGTAAACGAAATAACAGAACTTATGGGATTAATTGAAATAGAGACTGGGCCGACTCCCAAACTCCACTTTTTCCGACACAATACGTACGTTGTAGAAAAAATAACATCTTAATTTTATGATGGTATGCACACACAATTAATATTTAAGAGAAATATCAATAATATTAGGTTTTTTAACACTTAGGTTAGTAGAAAAGATGGCTGGGCACACGGGGATGGGGGGTTGGTTCCAAGGCAGAGGGCAGATTATTGGCCCTCACCTGTATCACTTGTATCAATTGTATCACTATCCACCACAGAGGCTTGCAGGGGCCTCCTTGTCAAACCCCTCAAAGTCCATATCCTCACTATCACTGACTTGGGCCGGCTGTGGTGGGTGGCGGGTGAAGAACTCGGTAATGTTTTGATGACTGGGCGACCTTGTGTGCACCCTCCCCCGCCGCTTTCTGCGTAAATGATGAAATTTATCGCGTAATTAAAACATTTCATTCTGACAAAATGACCAATTGCGTAAACAAAAACCGCGTAAATCCAGACTATACTGTACTGTATATAGATATCGCGTTCTTCGCTGCTAATGGACGATTAGCCAATCAGAGCACACTCACGGTAAAATAGTGTTAAGGAGGATCTTACCGGTCATGGCATAATATCCACTGCCTACTAATATTTGAGTTGTTAGGATTCTCTAGGTTTGGTTTCATAAATCTTTTGTGTGTTTTTACCCCACAATTTCCTCTACATCACAGTGCTGCCCACTTTGTGTGATCTAAATTGTATTTCTTAAGTGACATTTAAATGTGAACTTTATTTGGTAAATTTAGGATAGTAGCCAGGTTTTGGTTAGGTTAGGGCGGTTAGCACCAGAAATGAGGGTCAGATTCGTTCGAATCACAGCACGAACCATAGGAAAAACTTATTTTTTATGGAAAAATCGAACCTGACTACTACAGTATCATAAATTAACCCATTGATGCAAATTTAAGGAGACATGACCATTTTGTCTACACCTGGGTTCCCATTTAATATTTTTCCTCTGTCTACTCTGAAAGTGTCATTCATTTCCAGAATGCCTTCTACTAGTTAACAACTGCAGAGATTTATTACCTGAAGATATCAAGTACCTGTAATTTCTTTCCCTAATGTAATACTGTACAATATACTGTATGTTATTTTCTCATATTAAGTTGATTAGTGTTTTGTTTACAGATTGGACAAAATATCTACAGAGTAGATAGTACAGTATAGTACAAGTAGCCATTCTGAGTAGAAATGGTGGGAGTGCTTCAGTGAATTGACCCCCCAAAAAATTGATAGAACTACAGTACAGTCTATCTTATTTTGGTAAAATTATAGTTTGTCAACCAAACCTAACTTAATGTAACCTAACCTATATCTAACCTAACCGGGGGTCTTTGCCCCACCCCCCAGACCCTCCTAAAATTTGCTGGATGATTGAAACGACAATAATACCCTTATTTTAGCAAAAATAAACCACTGACCTCGCAGGTCACAAGCAGGCCTCAGTAGCTACGAGGGTTCCATTCTCTCAGTACAATAGTTGCCAATTTGTCCAGTAATGTTTCCACTTGGGCGAGCAGTGAATTTTCCGTGTGCATGGCGACTTTCCCATTATTCATATAAAAAAGCCAGTTTGATAGATACTGTACTTGATACTGAAAAATAAACTTGAATGAGAGATGTAAATACCCGTACATGTATATGTTTTTGCACATTTTTTAAAGAGTAAAAATTGTTGTCATATGAAAAACTAATTCCCTTTGTTATTCAACATTTTTATATCTGGTACATTTATCATGTTCCCAGTATCAATATTAGTGCTCTTACCGATATCCTGATGGAGCACTCGTATGTAAGAAATGGCACTACTTGGAATGCATCTCCTTTAAAAAGCATTAGCATAGATTTTTTGTGATTAAAGGGGGGTCACTTTCGAGACTTGTAAAAAATGTTTCTTTGAGCATAATCATAACAAATACTGTTGTACATCTATTACAATGTTTTAGAAAGCATAATGCTTTTTACAGAAGTAATTTGATTGTTTCTTACCTTATAATCTGAAGTCTTCCTGTGAAGTAAATCAACAAGTTCACACTAGACATGTCTCCCAAAACTAAAGTGACTTACTGAGATTGGCCTATTATACTGGTACAGTCCAGTACAGTATATGACTTGACAGGCTGACCCATTATGCCAACATTAGCAACATTATTATGTCAATCCTTGTGACTGGAAGTTAACCCCGATGTCACGAGTTGTCACAGCTCAGAAGAGGTGATTAATGATGACCTGAGTTGACAAGGATTAAATCTAAAACTAACGCCGAACATAGACAGAATACCTTCTTGCTCAATGATTCTTAAATAGGAAAATTAGTGTTTTTTTTTCTTTTTTTTCTTAAAAATTTTTGAGGTTTAATATTTTTTATTCTGAACTATTTGAACTGTCAAGGATGATTATATAGTACTGTACAGCATGCATAGGAAATCCTCCAAGCTGATTGTATGGCGTGATGTACCAGGGTATCCCCCAGGATCTATGCCTTTCATTAGAACAATGTTATTATGACCTCTTACAACACTGTACTGAAAATATACCATTGTTTATAATATATTCTGATACTCTAAAATTATATTAATACTTTGAACATCTGTTTATTAGTCTGTGTGTGTGTCTAAAAGTCTTATCCACAATTGCAGAAGCTTGATGTTGACAAATCTTCACACCTTGCAGTCATTTCTCTCATTGTTGGAGCAGAGAAAATCTCACTACTCTCAAGGTAAGTTTAGTTAGTTGAAGCTGATTACAATTCATATAACACTAATGCTTGGAAATGGGATTATAACTTGGAATAGGAGAAGGTTGTAACATACAGTACAGTACTTGGGTGAAGCACTGGGTCTAACAGCATATCATTAGAGGCATTGGAATATTGTTGGGTAATATTTACCCTTGACTTTTATTTTGTCAATAGAATTTTAGAATTTTTGCAACATCAGTCTACTCTAGTCAGTACAGTATGGACATTGAACATGAGTCCTGTATAGGTTTTTCAGTGGCTCATCCTAAGGACTGAACTTGAAATTTTATCATACAGTTATGTTTTTGTTGGAGATACAGTATTGTGGTGATTGATTTAGTTAGGTTTTATTAATGCGGTTTTTGTTTCAAATCAGAACAAGTCGAAGCAGCCAGTTTTGAAATGCTGGTTGCCTTTCTGGCTTTTGTGTCCTATGAATGTCTTAGATCATAAATCAATAATTTATGAGCCTTTATATGACCATCAAGTATATAGGGTCTATTCACTTGTTTAATTTCTTGACATATGGTCTAATTTTAATATTATTTGGATAGTCTTCATTACAACTGTTTGGTGTATTCTGTTTAGCAACAAGTAAAAAAAAATGGTTTGTTCCCAGTCATTGATGCAAGTTATGTGAGGTAGAGAAGTATGATTACTGTGTTTAGGTAATTCGTTTCAGCTTGAAAGGATTTAGACCCATAAGAAAACATAGCAGTCATAGGACAATCAGACTTGTACATTTTTACCATAGTAATCATTAGATTTCATTTTTTTCAGGTGATTGATATCAGCATGTGACCTTTTGTTGTTTCACATTGTTATTATTTTGATGTTCCAGAATACAATACATAAAAATACGGAACAATGTTTGGACAACAGCGTGCCCCATTTGGTAACACCGCCTCCACCTTTGGTACAGGGTTTGGAACACCCAACACCACAAGCACTGCAACTGGATTTGGAGCAAATACTTTTGGGCGTCCCGCTTTTGGCAACCCGGCAAGTACAAAAATCCCCTAATTTAAGATTAGTTAGGATCCTGGAAAACACAATAAAGCAAATACACATAAAATTTCTACAAGAATTAACATTTTGAATGATTTGATAGCAAACTTGGCATTATAGAAAGGAGGGTTAACAAAGTCTTATGTGCATCTTTCATGGTGACTAAGTAAATATCTAGTATGAATAATTTAAACTGGCACAAGGAATCAAATTTTTGCTTTGAGCAGTTGCAGGGTTAAAACATTACCTCAAAACATTACACTACTGTATTACAATGAAATTTTTTCTAAAAGTTTAGTCATTAGCCAGTTATGCATGTTCCCTGTAGTAGAAATAAGTGTGAAAAGGCATAACAGCAGTTGGTGGATGAATCATGGAATCCCTACTGTTGAAATTTACTTGAGACACTAAATAATAATATATTTTTTTTAAATATAAAAGTACAGGTATCCTAATTGAAGCAATTAGGATACTTATTAGAGAGAAAAATTACTGACTAGATATAACCTAAAACACATTTATTAATAAAGACTTGTGAGCTGTCAACACCATGAGATATTCACAAACTTATCATCTGTTGTATCCATGGTGATGAATGTTTCCTGTCTCTGGCATTTAAGATACTCTATGTAATTTATAGTAAACATAATATAACTTAGATAAGCTTCAATACTTCAGGTTACAGTAATGTTTGGTAAATAAAACTGAGAAAATTTTGGCTATGACATTCACTTCTGCTTCTTACCATATACGTATAGTTGTTGCTGGTTTAGTTGTGTAAATATAATTTAAGAAATTTTTTAATTGAGCATGATTTAACTTTACAGCGATTATTGTAAACAGAAGTTCATGGGTTACAGGTATGTATGAGTAAGTGTAAAGGTATGTGGAGACAATGGCAGAAGGGAAGGATATTTGCCGGGAATCGAACATTCTAGCCCACTTGGCCACTGTGAATTTATGCTTTGCGTAAAAAATATCTCAATTAAGAGATGGTGCATAAACAAAACAGTGAAAAACAAATCTGCTTAAATTGAGGGTTTACTGTATAATGATAGTGTCAGTACATGGTGCACAAAGATCATGTGGGCAGAATTCTCTCTTTTTAAATGTCTTTTGCTGGGTAGGAAAAGAGTTACATTCCTGTATTTACATGAAAGCTCCTTCTGCTTTATAGCAGTTTGGCCAGAATCAAGAGGAAACACAGGCTCTTTGTACATTTATTGTTATCCATTTGCTTTTACTACTCTAATATCGCCTTAAACCACTCGCACTTTACTGAAATTAACTCACATTGCTGCATGGATGTCCATCTTGTGTATTCCTCAACCCCTCCTTCCATTTCCTTGGTCTTGCTTTCCCCCATCTGGCAACTTCTTTTAAATTGTGGCAGAAAGTTGTAAACTAAATAGTGAATTAGTTCCAGCCACCAGTGTTGAGGGTGTTCAACCTTTAAATATAGTTTGATTATGTGAGTCACTCAGTCCAGGATTTCAGGATTAACCTTTGAATTTTTGTTCATGCTTCTCATCACATTTTATGATTGAGATATCTTGGAAGGTTTTCACAGGATGTTACTTTTTAATGGTCAGTGAAGTTTTGCTTTTCACTAAGATAGAAAGATGAAAGGTTACAGGTCAAAATATGAGCAGAACACTATACTGTACATGGGACCACCATGCAACCTTAGGGAGGAATAACATGTCCAATTATGTAGGAAGGGTGATATGTGATGTTCCATGCCATTACTTTAATCATGAACCTTGTATTAGATTTAAAGTGTTTTATTAATTATGTTGTCACACACAGCAACAGACAACAAGCTTTGGGACAACAAGTACTCCTTTTGGTGGTGCCACATCATCAGGTACATCACTGTTTGGCACCCAGCCACAACAAACTGGGGGAGGGTTGTTTGGACAGCAGCAGCCCCAGCAAACTTCAACAAGTTTTAGTCAACCAAGTACTGGTTTTGGCACGAGTGGTGGAGGACTTTTTGGTCAAGCCCAACAGCCTACTGCTACAGGTGAGGAACCCAATCCTTGTTCAGTAAGTATCTGTCAACTGTAAAATGGATAATGAACATGTGTCCAAGGAAAGTGTGTAATAAATCAAATCTTTTTGTTAGACTGCTTCGTAATGTAGATTTTCGGTTGACAGATACATTACTTTAATGTTCTTTATTTTAAGGATGGTATTTATTGGAGTATATTGCACTGTCATCATGTTGCAGTGTATGTTACAATATTTTTGTGGTAAACATAGGCCTAATGTTCTTTTACATCACATATGAATGTAAGTAATTGTAGTACTGTATATGTACACCCACCAAAAATAGTCCTGTCAGTCCTCTCCCATCCATGAACCCAGTGAATCCAAAACAACACACATAGTTCCCCTTTGTGTATTGTTTTAGATTCACAGGGTTCATAGATGGGAGAGAGGACTGCCTTTTTTTTGGTGGGTGTTCATTTATTTATATTTATTCAGTTACCGAAACATATATACCTGTAGTTCATTATGATTAACAAGTAATTTATGTAGCGGTACTGTGCAGACAGAATATTTTCCCAAATTATTAATAGAACACATTCAGGTTTAAAGTGCAGTAAATCCTTAAAACAAAAGTGTCTAAAAGTTCAGAAAACTGTCCTGCACTGTACAGGTCCGAGTATATGCTGAATTCTGGTCTTCATTATCGTACTTTATGTTACTGAGGGGTCTGCTTTATGTTTTGGTATGGATTTTCAAAATGTGTCCTTATTTAATTTTCTTTGTCTTCCTCTTTCTTGACACATCAGCTGTTCACCCGGCAGGTCTTTTTGGTAGTAGTGCAACCGGTGGCTTTGGGGCGCAGCAGTCAACACAGAGTCGACCCTTTGGTTTTGGTCAGACAACTACCAGTAGTACAAGTACTGCTGGAGGCCTCTTTGGTTCTACACAGCCAGCAGCTGGTGGAGGACTCTTCAGTACCCCAGGTATTGCTTTCTTATTTTATCTATGTTTCTAACCCATCTTTCTATTAATTTTTTAGTCATTCAGTGTTGTCCATAAGTACTTGCTGGCAGAATTTTCATTTCATTAGTGAATAATTGTCATTGAATATTTTCTTAAGCAAGCCATTTTGAAATTATCATATGGGCAGGTATGTATAGCTACTTAGCTAGTCATGCTTTTGGCAGTCTGATCTCATTTTGTAGTACGTATTTTGAATCGTCACTCAGGCCTGGATAGATTGTGTTGCCAAGTAGGCATTTAGATTTCATTTGCTCACACTTGCAAGCCTCTCGGTCTCTCTTCTCAGTAGCTCTTCAGTTTTGTGATGTAGGGACCCTGCCTTTGACTTCTTGCACCTCACCATGTGTTTCTACTCCAACAGAAACACAGTAGGAGGCAGTAATGATAATTCTTAAAGAGTGTAAATAGTAATAACATAATAAAACAAGTGTCCTGTACCTCAAGCTGCCTACAAAACAGTGTTTTGTACCTCTTACACCTAACCTCACCCCACTACGGCACACATATGCTACTTCATGGTCATTCTTGAATCTTTCTTGCTCCTGTGATCACAGTCTGTGGTTAGGATGTATTTCTTTAATGTTTATATCGTGCATGACTAGGTTGTGAGATTATAATTTTTTTAATTTAAATTGTTTATATTCCCAAATATATGGTACAGGTATGCCTACTGTAGTCTGGTGACTTGGGGGTTAAAGCATCACATTTTCTCACTTTAACTCTAATTCCTTCATTTCAAAACACTTTTTAAAAAGTTATATATGTTCACTACACATGCATTTTTGTCCATCCATAATGTTTTGAGAGTAACCGAGTTAAAACAGTTGATACAGCAGTGTTCAGGGGATCAGCTGGTGAATATTCTCAACAGTTTTCTAAAAAAAAAAAAGGCCAGTCTTTGACATTATTATTGTTGCACAGCGGTAACGTGCATAACTCTCACCAATATGTCAAGGGTTCGAGCCTCGGCCCAGACACACGTGAGAAGGGTGTTATTCATTGTGACCCTCACTACCAAACACCACAGGTTTCCCGGTCCCCGGTTTCCTCCTGTACTAACACTGGATAGATCGCCCAAACGGCTAGTAAGCTGATAAGTGGCGAATATGAAAAAAAAAAACTTTTCTAAGTTTAAGAATAAGTTAGCTAAATTGTGGTGGTGTTGGAATGTTTTTTTTATACATTAAAATATCCAATCCCCGGACCAATAGTAATAGATCGAATCGGCTCTAAAAGGGGTAACTCTAAACCTGGTCCACCTGTACACCTCCAGCTTTGCTTCCTCGTGTCTATATATTTACCTTGTAAGAGTGGGGAAAAAATAGGGTCATATGGGCAGATATTTATAAACTGTCAAGAGCTGTGAGTTATTTATTTTAAAAGTAATTTTTCTCTGGTAGGTTTTGGTGCAACAAGCGGTGTTTCTGGCACTACTATCAAGTATGAACCTGTAACTGGAAATGATACCATGACAAGAAATAATGTTTCCACAAATATACGTACACGCATTGAAGTCATCTCAACCATGAAGGTGAGTCTGTCTCTGTATTTTTCCTTTGTGGCTTAACAGTAATACAGTATTTTACTTCTCACATTGAGAATAAACAGATTTCCGGGTAACAAGACGACTTTCTCAAACCCGGAAATATTCCTTGTCCCCGGAACCTTTTCCGGTTACTGGGAAAAGTAACGAGTGTCTAAACTACTGGAATCCGTAAATACAGTTCTAATTAAGTTAGAAACTTAATTTCTTTAATGTAATAATTCAGAATAGTTTATCTTCAAGTTTGGTTCAATAAATATATTAAATGAATGAAGCTGTGTATGTTACAGCAAAGACTGTTATTTTCCACTCCCAAGGAGCTGTGGGGGATTAGTGGGTCTCGTGTAACTGACCTGATCTGATGCAATGTCAGTTAGGATGGGGGATTGGTGGTCTCATATTGCTGACCTGATGGAATGTCAGGTTACCCTTTCTTGGGTGGAGGATTAGTGGGTCTCATAACCTGAAGAGGTCTTGAATTAACACAAAAGCTGAAGTATTTTTAGGGAGATTGTGATAAGTAAAAGTATAAATGAACAAAGTTGTATCCCTTCAACATTACATAACATAACATTTTAAAATATGGCATGAGAAAGTAGAAAGGTATGGGTGATTAGAGAGATGGAGTGGAAAGGAGTGATAACATGCACCAGTGTTGCCAAACGATAAGCTCCTGAACAGCTGATCTTTTAATTCGCCTCCATGCAGTCACACAACAAGACCCTCACTGGATGCTTGTTGTCTAAATTCCCATGTGTAATAATAATTCAGTTTAGTCTCGATTTACGCGGATTTCCTTTATGCGTTTCGTCATTTACGCGGCACCTGGCCAGACCGGCAATTATTAATTACGCAGTACATTCCATCATTTACGCGGGAAGCGGCTCGGGCAGGGTGCGCACAAGGTCGACCAGTCAACAAAACATTACCGAGTACTTCACCCGCCACCCACTACAGCCAGCCCAAGTCAGTGATAGTGATAGTAAGGATATGGACTTTCAGGGGTTTGACAAAAAGGCCCTGCAAGCCTCTGTGGTGGATAGTGATACAGGTGATACAAGTGATACAGGTGAGGGCCAATAATCTGCCCTCTGCCTCGGAACCAACCCCCCATCCCCGTGTGCCCAGCCATATCTTCTACCAACGTAAGTGTTAAAAAACCTAATATTATTAATATTTCTCTTAAATATTAATTGTGTGTGCATACCATCATAAAATTAAGATGTTATTTTTACAACAACGTACACATTGCGTTGGAAAAAGGGTAGTCTGGGGGTTGGCCCAGTCTCCATTTCAATTAATCCCATATGTTCTGTTATTTCGTTTACGCGTTTCTCGCTTTACGCGGACCTCCATGGGTTTAATTGACCGCATAAACCGAGAATATACTGTAATCAACAGTTTATTGAAAGGATATGGCAGCCAGAAGGCTGAAAATATGCAGCTGCGTAATTGGGGAATGGGTCTCTTGATTGAAAAATAATATTCAAGTAACATACAAATATATATATAGTAACATAGTGACAGTGCAAAGAGGTAAGATTGACTGGAAGTGAATACACTGGTTGATTACGAGTTGTTGATAATTTTTACAATGGTAGACTGGGCTGTTCTTACAGCGATCATTACGTGCTAGTATGGGTTGGATGCAGTTGCGGTGTCGAACAGCAATTCAAGGACGAGGGATCTCAGGTGGCAGTAGGAGCCGGTGTTGATGATGGTGCAGAAGCTTCTCACCAAATTTGCAAATGAGGTCGTGGTGATGGTCAGAGAGAACCGAGAGGGTCAGTGTGTTGAGTGCTTCTTGATATGTGGAGTAGGAAGGGGAGAGAATGATCTTGCATGCCCTCTTTTGCACTTTATTTACGTGTTTACGTTGTGTGGCATTTAGGGAGGAAGACCAGGTAGGGCTAGCATAGGTGAGCTTGGGAAGTATGAATGTTGAGTAAACACTGAGGAGCTCGGGCGCAGGAACTCCGAGGGACTTGAGTCGGCGGAGGAGGTGGAGACAGAAACTGGAGGATTTGACAATTTCACCGACATGCATTTTCCAATTTAGTTTTTTATCTTTAGTGATGCTGATGAGCTTAGTGGAGTCCACAACCTGGAGTGTGTTGGGGCCTAAAGTAATGAAAGGGGGTGGGACAATGTCGGAGGAGAGGTTGATGTGCATACCTATGGTCTTGGTATGGTCGATGGTGAAGTGGTTGTTGGTGGCCCAATTTTGGAGACTGTTCAATAAACCCTGGAGGGCGGTGTAGTCGGGAGCCGAGTTGTTGACATTGATCCCAATGGTGGAGTCATCGACATATATTTCCAGCGAGCAGAGGTTTCTCTTAGGGCATCATTGATAAGCATAAGGAAGCAGAGTGGTCCCATCCTGGTGCCTTGGGGGACGCCACAAGTGAGTGACTGAAAAGTGGAGATAGCCCCTCGGAAGCATACAGCTTGGCGTTGATCACTGAGGAAGTCTGTAAGCCATGGTATAAGACTTCTTTGAAACCTGAGGTCAATCGCTTTGTTGATTAAATTGTGGTCGACTAGGTCAAATGCTTTGGTGAAGTCAATGCAGGCGACAGCCACAGACGTTTTTCGTTTTGGAGATGGCGGTATATGTAGTCGAGAAGGTCAGTAATATAAGACCACTAATCCCCCGCCCTACCTCCACCTGACATTGAGTCAATGTCAGGTCAGGTTCCCCCCCCCAAAAAAAAATACTTTCACTTTCATCTTTATTCAAGACATTTTCAGAAAATTCTCTCAATTTTCAACCTCGGAAAATTTGTTCCCAAGGCTGGAAATTTTTGGAAAATTCCGGCTTTGGGAATGATTTTCCGAGCAAATTTCAATTCCGGCTATCGGAGATTTCCAAGTTTGAGGGTTTCCGGCTAATGGAGATATTACTATTATTATGTGTACGGTACTTCATATTACTACCACCACACACAGTCAGTACATCCTCACACTCATAACGTATAATTACTTACAAAAGTGTAAGTACTGTACAGTACTGTAATCTAAAAGAATCCATGAAGATAGACTTATAACGTAACAATAAAAGACCCGAGACTGTTGCAAAATGCCTGTCTTCCTTCTCTGCCTCATCGACAAGTCAGTGTGCTGTGAGTGAAGGCTGAACCATCAGCTGAGGGTTACAGATGCTCGGGAAATAACGGGATTAGTGTCTATCTAGTTAGTTATACAGTACAGCTCCTCCCCGACTTACGACCTACTCGACTTACGACCACCCACACTTACGACCTGCCGCAGTCGTACCAAAATTTTTTTAAATTACATATTATCGAGTCCCAACGTCAGTACACAGATAAAATTTTCGTTTGTAATTCACTTTAAAATGGCTGGCAAGCTTAAAAGTGAGAGTTTTGTGGTGCTGAGAAGAAAAAGAGATACCCATTTTAGATTTTCTATGTATTGTTTAAGCATTTTTGACTTACGACTATTTCGACTTACGACCTGGATTTGGGTTCCTAACCCCGTCGTAAGTCGGGGAGGAGCTGTACAGTACTGCCTCGGACTCCATCACAGGTATTTTATTTGGATATTATTTTGTTAAGTAAAAATTCCTTTAATTATTATGTTTTCCATTGTAATATTTATACATTGTGGCATTTCTTCAGGAATATGAAAACAAATCCCTCGAAGAACTTCGTGTTGAAGATTACCTTGCCAATCGGAAAGGTCCTAGCCAGGGGACCACCTTGTCTGGTTTTGGTCAGACACCACAGCAGGGAGCACAGCCACAATTGGGAAGTACAGGTCTCTTTGGATCCTCCACCAGCACATCACTGTTTGGAACCACTAAGCCTCCAGAGAATAAGTCACTCTTTGGTAGTGGAACTACAGCTGGTAAGTTCTTTATTGTTTGAAGTGATTTTGTATTTATAGTGTTAATACCATTTTTATATTTTTATCTCTTTCTGTAAGCTGTTTGCAATGTTAATAGATTTGGTAGTGTGGCTTACAGTTTAATACCTACTGTAGGTAGTCTTAAACTTTGTAATAGCTTGTCTTGCCTCCTTGTAAATACTGTGTGTGTGTGTGTGTGTGTGTATATATATATATATATATATATATATATATATATATATATATATATATATATATATATATATATATACAGTATATATATATAATTCATTTTTTTTTACCTAACAGGTTTTGGTGCTCCTGCAAGTGGAGGTCTCTTTGGAACAAACACCAGTTCACAGGGATTTGGGCAAACCAGCACAGCACCCAATACAAGCTTCTCTTTTAGTCAAAACACACAACAACAGCCAAAGAGTACTGGGTTTAACTTTGGTAATACAGCCACCACAACTCCATCTCTGTTTGGCTCTACACCACAGCAACAGCAGCCTTCAGGATTTGGTCTTGGCGGATTTCAATTGGGTCAAAACACCCAGCAACAGGTTAGTTCTTTAAAAAAATAATTGGAATTTTTTATAAAAGTTTGAAGAGAATTAGCATCAGGCAGTGAATATTTTGTTGCAGTTGTCCATTTACCATTTAATGACAGCCAAGTGCTAGGGGATTCCATGGATTAATTTTATTCTTGTGTGTTTTGAATAAGGGGAAATTTACAACCTAGCAATGATATGGTATAGGAAGTGAGGAGGAATGTGATTCTGTTTGCATGAGTAACTTGCATTACTTTGGAAGGAAATTTGATCCTTATCCATATAAAACCTTGATTGAAAGTAGAAATGGTGAACTCCAAAAAGAAAAATGGTATTTTTTGAAGGATAGTTTTGAATTTGAGGATGTGTGACACCAGCATTGGTGTGTAAGATAAATCAGTGTAGTTTGAAACATAATTTCTTACACTGTTGAATCTCCCTATTTTTCTTTCAGAATACAGGTGGTCTTTTTGGCAATCAGAACAAACCTGGAGGATTCTTGTCCAATCAGAACACAGGAGGCGGTCTCTTTGGCAGTAAACCAGCAGGCATAACTCAACCTCTGGTCACTGGGTTTGGCACATCAACTGTCACCCCATTTGGCACAGCCCCAAACACAAGCACAGGAGGGGGACTTTTTGGGGCTCAGAACCCTCAGAATAAGCCTGGAATATTTTCTGCATTTGGTATGTTATAGCTTTTGCATTGTAAATACAGTTAGTCCTGGATTTATGAAACTTTGATTTACAAAAATTCAAAGATATTTTTTTTTACAATATGTTTTCCTAGGTAATAATGAAAGTATTCTAAAATATTGCAGTTTTTTTAAACTATTATATAGTATGCAAAAAAGTAAGTTCCCTCTAACCCAGACTCACTTAATCTGGATTCCTTTGCAAACTGAACTGGGGCTTAAATCGGCCAACCCTGCTGTCAGTGTTAATAAAAGAGGTTTGTTTATTGATAGAAATTTACATATGGCAGCCAATGAAGTTAGTGATAATGATCTTATATCACTATTTTCAGGTAACAATGCAGGTTTTGGGAACACTGGAGGGCTCTTTGGTCAGAACAACAATCAGCAAAAGCCTGGTGGCAGTCTTAACTTTGGTCAGTTTGGCAGCACTAATACCTTTGGACAGAACATTGGTACCAACCCAGGAGGTGGACTGTTCAACCCAAGTGGGACAAATACTAGCATGGGGATTGTTGGGACTGGTCTTCTGAACAACAACACAGGTATGCAAGAACAGTGCTCTTTTATTTACTTACTTGTGGATATAATTTTACCCCCACCAGTAGACAAAGATATTCAGATGCTTTTCGTTTGCTTTGTAAATAACTAATATTCAAGAGAATAAGGTAATTTGCTATTGTACATTTATTTATTAATTTAGTTATTGCTTAGTATCATGGGGAAATATTTTTCTTACGGAGGATTAAAGAAGAAGGGTTGGCCTATAGCCTCAGTGTGGTCAACTGTGGTGATCATTTACAATTCTACACAAGGTGTGAGCCATGTGGGTCTTGTGTCACACTTCACAGATAGGTTGAGATAGGACAAGTGTCTCCTAATATTTGTGAATCAGTTGAATTTTATGATCAATTACTAGTTAACACTGGATATCAGCTACACAGTTGCTCTTCAGTGGAGTAGTGAATCCAATGTCAATGTTATATCAGCCAAGTACATTAAACATTCTACTGTACTACTGTACCCACAAATAAAATACAGTTATGGGGCCACAGCAGTGACCTCTACAGGTACTCAAGTTGATTGTGTCTTTCACCTTGTGGGGATGGCATGTTACATATGAAGAGCTGCATGTTATGTGTGAGAGAAAAGATTGTATTGGGAGAGAGTTAGTGTGTGGTAAAGTACAAGGAATAAGAGGCAGTATGGAGGAGGATGTTTATATTGAATTTTTATTTGGTTTTCAGTTGAATATATAGTACTGTACATCATATACATGTAGATACAGTAGCGTTCAAATATGTCAAATTAAAAAAATTAAAGTAATGCATTTATTGATCTATTATTTTTATCCTCATCCCACTTTTGTGTGAGGTGGCTTGGACACGGTATCCACAAATAGGGGAATACTGGAGCTAGATAGGTGGGGAAAGGACAAGGGGGGGGGAGGGGGGGAAATCTTCAGACTTGCTTATATCTTCTGCCTTCAACACGTCTTAGAAAATAACATCAGAATAGCAAGGTACACTACTTTGGTTGTGTAATCGATTCAATTAATTTTGACAACAGAACTGAAATCAACAGACCTGGCAATGGTGAGCTTGTTTATGCTGCATCAAGGCCATTCCTTTAAATAAAGAGAATTGAAGACTGCATCGTAGGGCATGTGTGCTTAAAATTACTACCGGTCTAGTTGCCTTAACATTTTTTCACTCCCCCAAGAATTTTCCACATTCTTTATTTTTATTTATTTATTTTTTGGATTGGCTTTTGAAATTTCTCATTGGGTCATGGAAACTTGAAAACTTATTGCATGTGCGAGAGGGTTAATAAGTCTAATTTTCTTGCTTACAGTTGGTCTTTAACTTGTCTTACAATTTAGAGTAGTGATGAGCTCTAGTGATGAGCCCTGATCATCAGTATAATAAAAGTTGTTTTAAATCTTTCAGGATTTGGAATGCCCCAGATGAATACTATTGGTGGGGTAGGTGGAGGTGCCTCCCCTGATCTTGGCAAATTGGTGAAGGCCTTAACAGTGAAACCAATCTTTGACATCCTCTTGGGAAGCAAGACTTCCCCAGCTACAGGTATGTAAAGAAAATTAAAATACTCGCAGAACTAGAGAAAGTGTGATGTTTACATGAGTCTAATAGTGTGGATATGTGTGTGTGCTCCCTTGTGTTTATATCAAGGGACAAGAGGAAAGGGATAGAAAGTGTGGGTAGATGTGTGTGCATGTGTTTGTAGTATGCATATATACATGTACTGGTACACATTATGCAGGTGTAAACATTTGAAGCTTTGACTCAATCAATTCAGCAACATCTCAACTGGTGTAGGAGAGGGTAGTGGCAATTATACTGGTGAATAAAATTGATTTAAATGAATTTATTAGCAAGATAACACAATTTCATAATTAAATATAACATTACTGGATTTGTTGGGATGTACGCTATATTTATATTTCAGACAAATCCAGCAATACATCAACCAGTGAGCAACTTGGGTCTAAGTTAACCAGCTCCAATTCAAAGCCTACATATGTCTTATCACCTTCACTTGTGGCAAACAACAAACCGCGGCCCAAGCCCATCAATAAGACCAACAACCAAGGGTAAGTACCACCTCAATTGCCTCTCTCAACATATTCATCCATCTTCTTGGTTTTCTACTGTCTATTCTATCATCTATTTCTGAATATACTTTTTTTTAAATCCTTTGGGTACCATTCTCTCAATGAGTCCATGTACCACCGTAGCAAATCCTGGTCATCTCTCTCTCTCTCTCTCTTTGACCATCCTTTCACTTGCTTGTTTTTATGTTTCCCTATTATTTCCATTCTATTCACCCCATACATTGCTTATAGGAAAAGAAATCTTGTCACATGTAGCTTCATTATTTTCCTTGCACAGAAGCAAAAGGCTTGCGTATAAAAGGTGATGGTGCCTTTGTTGGGATACTGTACACAAAAATCTATAACTACTGTACAGAGAGGGTTCTATAGTTATGATTCCTTACTCAGTCAGACAGTGTTTTATTTTCCTTTAAAAGGAAATTCCTTTCAAGAACCCATTTAATCTGTATATTTTAGAAATCTTAACATTAATTTTTTTTCAGGAATAATCGCCATTGGCTGTTCAAAGGTTTGGAAGATTCCAGTGAAGAAACTTCAGAAGATTTCTTGAAACCCAAGAAGTATCCTAGTGTGAGGAAGCTTAATTTAAAGGTGTTTAAGGGAGTCAAGTCTGATAGTGCCTCCTTAGGCAGGCCAACAGCAAGAGTGAATTCCATAGGTGACCCTGATGCTCTTTCCCCTCTTACCACTCCTGTTAGTCCTCTAGGTGAGAGTACCCCACTGCATAACAGTGGTCCATCTTCACCTGATGATTACACCACACCAGACATCATTAAGGTTAGTTGACAATTACTTTTTGTATGAATCACTTTGTTTTGGAATCTTGAATTATTTATTACAGTGAGTTGATGCCTATGTGAATTGGATTTGTTATGTATTTACAGTGGTCCCTCGGTTAACGATTTACCTTCCATAAGATTCTTAACTTCTGTTAACGAGCAATCCCTCAATTAACGAGTTTTTTACGAGCCGACTTCAACATGTTTTCGCTTGCATTTGGCGGTCCACCAGCTGTAGTATTAGTCCGCCAATACAGTAATCGGTTTTAGGGCTTAAATTCCTTACTAGTTTAGTAAATATCAAGAAGTTTATACTATTCAATAATTTTAAAAGTTTTATATTAACTTTTTTAGTCATTTTAACAATTATTGAACATAATTGAAGGTAAAGAAACTAGTTTCTGGCGTGCCATCCAGCCTGTTAACACACCAGACAGGCGTTAGTCTCTCTCTGTTTTCAGTGGAGGTAACATGTTGCTTGAGACTCTCTTCAACTAATTGCTTTTTTTCTGTGTTTCCAAGCAAATTACTGGTCATTTTGAAATATATTTTACATATTGACAATATATAATGCAGTGCAGTGTTGATTTAAAGAAAATAATCTTGAAATACACCAAGAGAACTAAAATTTTATGGGTGAAATGGTGCCATGGGGTGAGTTCTCTTCCACCCCAATGCCTTCTCTTCTTCCTTCTCCTCCACCCCCATTCTAATTCCCATCATTATCATCCAGGAGCTTTCTACATACACACCTCAAAGTAAGTGTACTTTTCTACCTTTTTTGTTGAATTTAGGCAATTTTCGGTGAGCTGGAACCAATTACCCAAAAACCCATTGAAACAATGGTTTCTGTTAACGAGTTTTTCGGTTAACGAGCAATCTGCTGGAACGGATTGTGCTTGTTAACCGAGGGATCACTGTATTGATTTTTTGTTTGATGTATTAGATCATATTTGATCTCCTTCTATCCTCACACAGCCAAACTGTGGAATGCTCTGCCTTCTTCTGTGTTTCCATACTTATACGATCTGTCTCACTTTAAAAAGCTGGTTTTCCGGCATCTTCGTGGTGTAGGTTAACACAATATAACCTTTTTGTTCTCTACTTTAAATTTCTTTCTGTTCTTTTCTTTTTCGCCCCGTTGTGGGTTGTTTGACTTGTGCCCGGGTGGGCTAATTCCCGTAAAAAAAAAACTCTGTGAAGTGCATTGATCCTTCATATTTTTTATATATATGGAGATTGATCATGTTCAAGATTATTTGAGGTTCATCACCAACTTTTGGATCTCATATCTTGCTAAGTGAAAAATGTAAGCACACTAATGAGTGAAAATAAATGTTTTTTAAACACACACATTGATTGTTTTATGATATAATATAGACATAAATACAGTACACAAAACACTTGAATTTAACTCACCACAAATAATGTTGAGTGCTGCTTGAGGTGGGATGGTGCAATGGAAATTACTGTGAGATGTAGCAAGCCCTAATGTTTTTGCAATCTGGCTAAGTTTTTCCATCGTATCAAATTCCATAAAATATCAAGTTTTATAGCCAATGTAATTCCTTTACAGGCTTTCTTAGCACTACTGCTTTCACTTGCACTCAATGGTCTCTCTCCACTCATCTTGAATATGGATAATACACTGGCCAGTCTTAAATAAGATAGGTACAGTAAAACCTCGATAAATCGGACTTCAGTATATCGGAATTCGCTTTTTTTGACTCTGAGATGCTCTGGTCACCAGAAATACACAAAAAAAAAGTTTAAGAAATGGGAAGATTAAATAAAAAAAATCTGATGAAATGAACAACACTTACTGAATACTGTACAGTAGTCTAATCAGATTTGCTATAGGCCTACTGAGAACTAAGACACTTGAGTATGTTAGCCGGCTGGTGCTGATCAGGTGTTGCCACATTCGTCAGGTTTATTTATTTATTGATTCACGAAATAAGGATGTAAACTGAATTGGGTCCTAAATTATTTAGGGTTTCAAATACGAATGAAATAAGGATGTAAACTGAATCAGGTCCTAAATTATCTAGGGTTTCAAATACGAAAAGTTGTTGGACGAATCGTTGTTATCCGAGGCTTTACTGTATTCACTTTTCTCAGACTTTCGCATTTTTCGGACTGGGTCTGCCCAAGTTAGTCCAATTTATCAAGGTTTTACTGTATACAGTGATCCCTCGGTTAATGAACACAATTTGTTCCAGAAGGTTGCTCGTTAACCGAAACCATTGTTTCAATGGGTTTTTGGATAATTGGTTCCAGCTCACCGAAAATTACATACAAATTAAAAATAAATGCAGTAAAGTACACTTACTTTGAGGTGTGCATGTAGATGGCTCCTGGTTGATGATGATGATGATGATGATAGGAATTAGAATGGGGGTGGAGGAGAAGGGAGAAGAGAAGGCATTGGGGTGGAAGAGAAGTCACTCCATGCCACCATTTCACCCATAAAATTTTAGTTCACTTGGCGTAATTCAAGATTATTTTCTTTAAATCAACACTGCACTGCGCTATATATTATCAATATGTAAAATATATTTCAAAATGACCAATAATTTGACTGGAAACACAGAAAAAAGCATTTATGTTGAAGAGTCTCAAACAAGATGTTCCTTCCTCTAAACTGGGAAACAAACTGACGCCAAGCTTGGTGGATTGAGTGGCTGTTTGGTGTGCAAAAAACTAGTTTCCTGTACTTTAATTATGTTCAATAATTGTTAAAATGACTAAAAAATTTAATATAAAACTTTTAAGATTATTGAATAGTACAACCTTTTTGATATTTACTAAAATGATAAGGAATTTAAGCCCTAAAACCGATTACTGTATTGGTGGACTAATACTACAGTTGGTGGGCAGCTAAATGCAGGCGGAAACATGTTGGGAAAAATTTGTTCGAATTCGTTAAACCGAGGGTTTGCTCGTTAACCGAAGTGAAGAATCTTATGGAAGGCAATTCATTAACCGAGGCGCTCGTTAACCGAGGGATTGCTGTATAAGTGTTAAATCCATGAGCTGGGGCTGGGAGATCAAGCATACATGCTGGGAGATTAAACAAACTGTGTCCAGTGGCACTTGGAGTGTGGTGTGGCAGGAATTGGTAATGGGAGATATATGGTGCAGCTCTCAAAGTAATGTCATCTGACTGCAATTCTTTGGACTTTGCTATGAATTATGATCCAAGTATCCTAGGTAGTGGACTGGTAATCTTGTGAGTTTTCATAAAGCAAAGAAAGTGATTACTTGCAGCTAACAGGATTCTTTGATATTTGAGTACAGTATCTGTATTGTTGCACAGGATATATGTCCCACAATTGGTTTAGTATTGAAAGATATATGATGGTTCATTAATTTTTTTTGCAGGGTCGAATCAAGGTGAAAAGACTTAATCTGGCAGAGAAAAATGGGCCAATGAATGATACATTGACAGACCTAAATGTTAATCATTTGAAGGTTACGGAACCTGCAGACGAGCAGGCTGAGGGAGATGATGTTGGAGATCAAGACAAAACTGACCCAGACACAGAGGCCAACAAGGAAAATAATGTGTCCCTCTTTAATTCTGTTGAAGAAGATCTTCCTGAAATGATCAACAGGTCCTCTGATAAACCGCATCCTGCTGGTGAGTACAGTACAGTTCATACTGGATATTTTATTGCCTCAGCTATAATGTTGCTCCTGAAGTATGATGGCATTTATGGTCCATATTATTAACTTTAGTTTTATGGGACATATAGGGAGGAAATAGGTTAACACTTACTGTCCATATGAAGCCTTTTTTTGGTTTGTTGTTGCTTAGAAAAAGGCTTTAAAGATTATAAATTGGAATACTGCTTTATAGCCTGAATAACTAGACAGAGTTTTATCTTTTGGGGTTTTGTTGTAATATAATTTAAAAACTGGCACAGGACTTTGTGTGTACCCTGTATAACTCAAAAGTTGTTCAGGTCTTTCTGCATATTTGTGTTTTTTATATTACATTATCTTCATGAAAGCTCTTTGAATGTTTAAGTAGGTGTTGTTACCATTCATAGTTGGTAAATTAAGTTCAGTTCTCTTATTATTTGATGTATTTTTTCTTTTCGCAGGAGTTAAGTTGTATCGCTCTGGTTACTACACACTTCCCTCCTTGGAAGATCTAGGGGAAATGGTGGATTCAGATGGAAGATGCCTTGTGGAAAACTTCACTGTCGGCAGATATGGATATGGCAACGTTTGCTTCCTAGGTGTTACAGATATAGCTGGTCTGGACTTGGATGGAATTGTGTTCATCTTGAGGAAGCAGATTGAGGTATATCCAGAAGGCACCCAAAAGCCTGCTCAGGGCCAGGAACTCAACAAACCAGCAGTTGTAAGTGTGATAAATGAATCTTGATATTTGGGATGTGGTTTTAGAATGAAAATATTTGGAGGCATTTGGTGAGGTTTAATGAATGATAAGTGAATGTGGAACAAGTGTGACTTTGGGATGGGTTGTTTATTCTAAAATTTCTAAAGGATTTTAAGCAAAAAATCCTGAAGTTTTGATGTTACACTTGTTTATTTATTTGTCAAGAAAATAACAGCCATGCCAGACTTGAGGTGCATGTTTGTTGATATCTTAAGATGTCACTACATTTCGTAGGTTTACCATCATGTCGGTCACTTTTTTTGTCAGTAGGATATCTTAGAGCATCCAGCTCCTGCTTGCTAGTCAGTGGAAGAGAAGGCAATTAACCTTTGTTATTAGTTTTTCCAAATCATCTTTAAAACCATGTTTATCTTTTGTAGAACTAGAAGTAAAGCAAAGGATGTGAATGAGTAGCACAATATATAGAAAAATAAAATAGAATATGAGAATAAGTAGGGTAAGGAACAAAGATGTGAGAAGGTTCATGGATTAAGAAAGCAGTACGATACCTTTTGTCACTTGGATTAGAATATTGGTACAATACAGTATAATATTTCTCGTACATTCATTATGGAATAATTAGATATAACTATACCAGTACTGTACAGTATTAATTATTTTTTATCATTATCTCTTCTTTCCAGATAACTCTAGATTGTGTGTGGCCAATTGACAAAACAACAAGAGAGGTGATAAAGTCTGCTGAGCGTCTCCAAGGTATGGCATGGGCAGATTACCTAGAGCGTCAGTGTGTCAAGATGGAGGCCAGCTTTATAGAATATCGCCCAGAAACTGGATCATGGGTCTTCAAGGTACCAGGATTTTAGTCTTGAAGTAGATTACTTAAACTTTGGAATAGTAAACTAACATTAATTACTCTCAGTATCGTTTGTGGATTGTGCTTTGTACAGTTTGAGAACTACATTGCTCTCTTGTGGAATGTCCTTTTTAGAATAGTGACGATTGTGGCAATTGTAGTGTTGGAAATTACTCTCAACACTAACAGATTGCATTTGAATATTTTTATACGTTAATTTGTGAATGATGCATGCTAGTTGTGTGGGAGTGACAGTAGTGCTTGTCCTTAACATGGATTTTTAACACCTTTAATTTTTATAATAATTTTTGGGGGATTTTTGTTGATGGGAGAAATCCTCAAACTGTTGACAATGATCCTCTTTCCATTGTATGATCTTAGCATCTTGTAATGCTGTGGAATATGGTTCTTACATGCATCTAAAATCTCTCTAATTAGTGATAGATATATGGTGAACACTTTCCATGACACATATTTTCTGTACTGCTGACAGAAATATCCATATTCTTTTCAACAGTACAATATTTAATGTGATTTAGATCCTGTAATTATATATATTGTAGCTATTTAATATTTGTAATAGAAAGTTTTTTTTTTTGTCTTTTACCAATTCAGTGTTGTGTTTTACTCTTTATTACATTTATAGTAAAATGATCTGAACAGTTTTAGTGGACTTGTCTGGTTATGAGACCCTACACATAGTGACATGTTGTGGAAAGGAAGCTGCTTGTGACATGGTCTTGGTGTTGTGGCAAGCAAGCTAATCGATAATTGGCCCTTTTTCCATTTAGTTTTTTTAATACTTTATTTAATCCTCAGTTTCTTGCTTGTTAGTATTTTCTTTTCCACTAAGTATTGTAAGGTGACAAAAAATTCCCAGCTGCTGAAATGGTTTTAGTAATGAATACTGGACAGGCTCTACTACTTGCATTAGAATGGTGTTCAGAGTTTTTACTGTCTAGTAAAATGCTTTAATTTCTTTGGAAATGTGTGTGGTGTCTGTAGTATTTTTTTTTTTTTAATTTTAAATAAGAAAACCATAAACAAGATTGTTACAGTATACAGCTAGTACTCCTCGACTTACGACATACTCGATCTACGACCGCCTCAGTCATACCAAAATTTTGTCAAATTACGTATTTTTGAGTCCCAACGTTAGTGATTGCGCTGTGTACTGAAAAACATTTCGTTTGTAATTCACTTTAAAATGGCTGGCAAGCTTAAAAGTGAGAGTTTTGTGGTGCTGAGAAGAAAAAGAGACACCCATTTTAGATTTTCTATGTATTATTTAAGCATTTTCGACTTGCGACCAATTCGACTTAAGACCTGGATTTGGGTTCCTAACCCCGTCGTAAGTCGGGGAGGAGCTGTATTTGTCTTGCAATAACACCATTACTCTCTTCTCTGTGTGCACTTTAGGAGTTAGTGGAGTTTTTCACACGAATCACATTGTTACAAAAAACAAAAACAAAATCATTTGTACACAATTAGAAATACTAATACAGTGCAACCTCGAAAATTCGAATTGCATGGGCCCATGAAGTATACGAATTTCAGAAAAATTTGAATTTTAGATGTATGAAAGCGCCAGAGCAAATAGTTATATCAAAACATGCTACAAAAATTATTTGCATATCTAAAAACTGTCAATAAGCAATAGGTAATAAATTCAAAGTATTACTGTATTTATATTCAACAACATTTATTCTTATATGAAACTTTAAATACGTGACTAAAAGTCTTTAGGTGAATACGTAAATAGTTTCTATACAAAATATTGTACACTACTTTTAAATTGTTATTACAATCATATACGTGTGTAAAAAAAGATAAAAGTCGATTAAATATAAGAGATATCAAGAAATCATAGAATTATTAATGGAATAAACATCGGTTGGCTGGCATCTGTCGTGTCACTACTCCCCTCCTCTTTATCCTGCATTTTTCCACACTGCCTGCAGTGATAATTTTTTTTTTCTACTGTACAATGTTGCTTAATGCACATCTTCAATAATACTTCCAAATATTGACCTGGTTGTAAATAATTACCATTCAGTATAATCATTGTCACTATATTGGGGTTGGTCTGACGAGTAGGTTACCTACCCTCTGCTACGTACGCAACTCTAAAGATGTTGAGTTGACAAAGGGAAAACATGAATATTAAAAAATACTGTAAGGATTGTATATTTACCTTAAATTTCTGAGCTTGAACTGTTTATTGGTCCCATGAAACATACTTTTTCTTCTTTTCCACACTGCATGCTAAACTATCAAGTGAACGCTTATTTGATGCCATTATAAGGGTGAAAGTTGAATATTAATAAAGTTAACCACGGAGCACTTGTGAGACGACCATCACGAGACACGGACGGGTAAACAATGCGTGACCTAGCATGTCTTGGAACCCAGATGCGTTTTTTGTGCTCAGCATAATGATTGCATTTGAAAGCTTGAATTATTATGGCGATATTTTCAAGTTCGAAACCTAAAATTTTGGCACTTATTTTTAATCAGATTTTATTCAAATTTTAGGTGTATCCGAATTTTTGAGGTTTGAATTTTAGAGGTTTCACTGTACTGTATAGGTATGGATGGCATATGGTAATTGTGACATTGCTACCATTGTTATGTCAAGGTTAGTAATGACCTTTTGATGAGATAATGCTGTCTATGTGTTATTTGGCTGGGATTAAAGCTAGGCAGACAGTTGGAGTGGAATATTTTCACCATTATGGGAAACTGAAATGATGACAGTTCATGATGTTTTAATTTTCCAAACTTGTTACTATTGAACATCACTTAATATTTTATTTGGCTAATGCCGGATGATTTTATTGAACACAGAGAGAACCCCTTGCACCCAAGGGGTGAAGACAACCATAGATTGATCTTGAATGCTTCATGTGATTTCAGTGTTAATTTTTTATAAATAGATTTGTGTGATAAGTAATTATTATAAGGTAGGTAGGTAGCATAATGTCCGTACTTATTAATTATTCTTGATATATGCATATACTGTATACATATATTCTGATTATATTATATCTGTAATTATTTTTGCATTTAAAAAGTACATCTTCTCTTTGAAGTTGGTGCTCTTTATATGGCTTTATTTTGTGAGTCAAATTTACTCGGAAAAAGATATGAGAAAGGATTGCTAAGCTAAAGCAAGGGTTTACATATTATTTCATTGATATGCAACAATTGCATTATTTTTCAAGCTTTTCTTTGAATAGAGCTGAGGTGAGGAGCCTATATATGTGATATTAAAGTTAGATTAGTTTTGTGTATATTTTCTTTAAAAATGTTAAAAGGTGCTGTATACTTACTGGAGGATTTTCATATACTGTACTGTACTGTACTGTACAGTATTTATCCTTCAAATATATATTTAGATAAAGAAATTGTGACAGAGTAAAGAATTCAAGAATGTTCCCGAATAACAATCTAACCTTATACAAGAGTCTTTTGTCACAAAAACGCTTGTATTTACAATATATAAACAGTATATTGTAGCAATCCATTTGGTTTAATGTTGCTTATTGTGATATTATATAATAGTATAATAACTGATTACATTATGGGTTACCACATAAATCATAATACTGAAATCTCACTGCATGAGAAGATAAAACATAAAAAAGCAAGAGCACTGTATATTTTATCTGTAAAATACAGTCTACTTCAGTAGTGTGACAAGAACAAATATAGAGGGAGATTTTAAAGAGGTTGCCAAGTGACATAAACAGGCAGCTGACAGTGGTAAATGTCAGGCCTTATGCTCTCAGGTCTTATTAACAGCTACCGAATTGAGGGGACCATTGTCCTCTTGGACACTTTGAAATTTGGAATTTTTTAAATCGAATAGACTGATTGATTTTTCTTCTAAAACTACAATTAGCATACACGAGAGACCTTAAGGCACTTGAGTTAATGGTGTGGCCCAACTTCTGAATATGTTTAAATACAGCTCAATTATCTTGGGCATATCTTCAGGTATTTTATGTTCAAGAAACCTCACACATAAGTCCTTCCCCATCTGACCTACACACATTTTATAACGACCAGGTTTGCCCTCATTTATTAATTTTTGGTGAACATTACCAAGAGTTTAGAAAACATTGTTGGGATAACTGAAAACTATCTTGATTTGTTATATATAGTGCTCTCGTTATTATGTGTTGTATCTTATCCTACAGTGGAGTTTCAGTGATAGTATAACATTTAAATTTACTTTGTTTGTAATATGTCTTCTTTCACGGAGCAAGTCATCCATTTTGAAATATTAGGTATAAGACGATGTTTTTACAAAGTAAGAGTAAAGGAAAATAGTTTTTCTGGAGTAAGAAGAGATTCATAAGGAAGTCGGTGTATAGCTGTAATTGGCATGGCGAGGGATTTTGCACAGCCAAGTCAGCATATACACGTTTGGTGGCAGTAGTACTTATTAATGGAAACATTATAGTAACTGGTAACAAAGGGCTTTAGCTGAAGTAACAGAACAAGGAACACTTCAGGTGGAGTAGCAGAACAATTCGCACCTCTAAGCTACAGTAGCAGAAAAACGTAGCATTTAAATTACAGTAATAGAACCAAGTATACTATTCAGCTACAATAGCTAAACAAGTAACAGTACTAAGCTACAAAGTAGCAATGCTAAGCTACAGTAGCAGCATAAGGAGCATTATTAAGAATCAGTAGCAGAAAAAGAAGCATTTAAATTACAGTAATAGAGCCAAGTATACTATTCAGCTACAAGAGCTGAACAAGTAGCAATACTAAGCTACAGCAGCAGAGCCAGAATCATTGCTAAGCTACAATAGCAGAACCAGGAGCACTGCTAAGACACAGTAGCAAATCTGGAAGAACTTCTAAGCATCAACAGCTGCATGAGTAGCACTTCTAAGCTACAATAGCAGAATAAGGAGCACTTAAGCTGAATCAACAGAGCAAGGAGTTTAATTATTGTTTAGTAGCAGAATAAGTAGCATT